TTAATGAGGTTCAGCAAGATGCCTACGTCATTAGGAGCGATGAGCGATTGTATTCTTATTATTAGCAAAAATAATAACAATTAGGTTACAATTACATAATATAAAAGCAACCTTTGTTCGCTTCGCTTAACTCTGCTTCAACATCTGTCCTCAAACTAGTATATGAGTCATACCTAACAAATCTCCACCTTGGCGAATATCCTTCCCCTTAGGAAATGAAATAGAAAACTGGGAGTTTACTAAACATCAAAGTGGGTTGGGCTACCACGCTTCTCTAGCAACTGTAAACATTTAACAAGTTTAAGCAGTGCATGAACTTGTCAGTAGTAACTGACTTGGTTAACATATCAGTTGCATTCTCACTAGTATGAACCTAGTATGAACCTTCCGTAACAATATCTCTTCAGATGCAATCAACTCTCTAATCTTGTGAAACCTCACATCAATATGCTTAGTTCTAACATGATACACCTGATTCTTAGCCAAATGAATAGCACTTTAGCTGTCACAATGCAACTGAACTCCACCTAGCTGAACACCCATAAAGCTTCTTTTGGAACTTCAACTGCTGCCATGTATTCAGCTTCAATTGTAGATAATACCATAATAGACTGAACAGTTGACTTCCAACATATAGGCCCTCCACCAAGAGTAAACACATACCCAGTTGTAGATCTTCTATCATCCAAATCACTTGCATAGTTTGAATTCACATATCCTACAACCAAAGGATTATCCTGTTGATTACAAAAAACAATTACATTCCTTACAGTGCCCTTCAAATACCTGAAAATCCACTTGACTGCTTTCCAATGTCGCCTACCTGATTTAGACATGTATTTACAAACTTGACAAACAACATAAGCTAAATTAGGGCGAGTACATTCCATTACATACATAAAGCAACCAACAACACTGACATATAAAACATTTGCCATGTCTACAACTTTCTTATCTGTCTTAAGACAATGTTCTGAAGAAAACTTAAAATGATTTGCCAATAGAGTGCTTACTGGCTTTGCATTGCTCATCTCAAACCTGTATAACACTTTCTCAACATAGCAATGCTGAGATAATCATAGTTTCCTTGAGCCTCTATCCATGTGAATCTCCATTCCAAGAATTTTCTTTGCAATACCTAAGTCTTTCATATCAAATTTATGGCTCAATAAAGCTTTCAAACCAACAACATCATGCATATTCTTTGCAGCAATCAACATATCATCAACATACAATAGCCGAAAAATAAAAGAACCATCATCAAGGCTCTTAACATAAACACAACAATCATACTCACATCACTTATAGCCAATCTTAATCATATAGGAGTCAAACCATTTATAACATTGTCTTGGAGACTGTTTCAACCCATATAAGGATTTCTTCAACTTGCAAACCTAATGCTCTTGTCCAGGTTGAGTGAACCCTTCTGGCTCCTGCATATAAATCTTCTCCTCTAAATCACCATGCAAAAATGAAGTTTTAACATCCATCTGCTCTAAATGCAAATCCCAACTAGCTATTAATACAAGTATTGCCCTGATTAAGTATGCCTAACCATAGGAGAAAAAATTCATCATAATCTACTCCATTCTGTTATGAAAACCCCTTTGCTACCAATCTAGCCTTGAACTTTCCCCTTTTTTTCTGATATTGTTGGTTTCCTTTTATAACACATTTACAACCAAAAGCTTTCTTTCCCTCAGGAAGTCGAACAAACTCCCATATATGATTTTTCTATAAAGACTCCATCTCCTCAACCATTGCAGCCATTTATTTCCCTTTCTCGTGACTAGTAATAGCCCCTTGGAAAGTACCTGGATCATCACTACTAATGTGAAGTGAAAAGGAGACCATGTCTTCAAAACCCAATATGTTTGGAGCCTTTATATTTGTGCGTCTCTCTCTGTCTATGGATAAATTATAATCCTACAAATCAACTGTATTAGAACCACCAGAAGTTGGATTAGAACTTTTATCTCTCTCAGCTGCTATTGGATACTATTCTAAATCAATCAATACCTTGTCTTGGTTCTGTTGCAACATCAATTGCTCATCAAAGACTACATCTCTATTGATCACCACTTTATTTGCAATCGGATCCCAAAACTTTTATCCTTTGACACATTTCTTGTAGCCCAGAAAGATGCACTTCTTCGAATTTGCATCAAGTTTTGATCTCTCATCGCCTGATACATGCACATAAGCAAGACAACAAAAAATCCATAAGTGACCAAAATCAACTGCATTACCTGTCCATACCTCTTCTGCAACCTTGCCACCCAATGATGGCCTTAGTTATTTGTTAATGAGGTAGCATGTCATGCTCACAACCTCTGCCCAGAAGCTTTTAGGAAGCCTTGCATTCAGTCTCAAGCATCTTGCCATTTCATTCAATGACATGTTTATCCTTTCTTAAACACCATTTTGTTGTGGTGTCTTGGGTACTGTAAAATGCCTCTGAATCCCATACTCCTCATAGAATTTCAGAAACTGTGATTCAGTGTACTATGTGCCATTATCAGTCCTCAAATACTTTATCTTTCTACCAGTTTAGTTCTCCACCTCAGTTTTTCATAGCTTGAACTTGGCAAAAACTTTAGATTTTTGTTTCAAGAAATACACCTAAACTTTCCTAGAAAAATCATCAATAAAAGTAACATAATACATAGAGTCACCCAATGATGATTTTCTGGTAGGCCCCCATACATTAGAATATACATAATCAATAATCCCTTCAGTTTTGTGTTTTCCAATCATGAAGCTAACTCTAGCCTGTTTACCAATAACACAAAACTTGCAAAAACTGAGCTTGAAGCTTTTAACACCATACAATAAATTTCTTTTATGTAATTCAACCATTCCACATTAACTAAGATGAGCAAGACACATATGTCATAGTTTTGTATTATCATCATATGACTCAACCGAATGAAATCCACCTACAACTGTACTCCTTAACAGTTTATAGATATTCCCTATAGTCATCTTTCCTTTTATCACAGTCAATGCACCTTTAACAATTCTAATGGTTTCCCTATCCTCATCTTTTTAGGAATAAAACCATTCTTATACAAAAATGCCTAAGGAAATTGTATTCTCTTTCAAATCTGGTAAATGTCTAACGTCACATAATGTCCTAATAGTACCATCATACATATTAATTCTGACTTCACCAATACCAACAATATTGCAATATATGCCATCACTTAAGTAGACAGGACCAGAATTAACTGACATCTATGTCAAAAACTACTCCCTGTTAGGTGTTATATGATAAAATCATCCTAAATCAAGAATTCATGCATCTGTCAACTGAGTTGTTGAAATAGAAAGCATATCACCATCACTGTAATCTGTATTGTGCATCATGCACCACATTCACAGACTTGGATGATTCATCACATTTCTCATCAGTCTGTTTTTTCCACTTTGAACAGTCTCTCTTCATACGTCTCGACTCCTTGCACTTGTAGCAATTAATTACCTTTTTGCCCCTAGACTTTAATCTGTAATTTCATTTTCCAGACCCCTCATTTTCTGACTTTATTCCACGATATTGATTACCTTAATATATCAGCATGAGAGATTTCCCCTGCATTCTGCTTCCACTAGTTGTGAGCTAATAAGGCTACAGTAATCTCTTCAACTTTGATTATTTCTTTCCCATATGTAAAAGTAGTCACCAAGTGTTCATAAGAGGAAGACAATGAACACAACAGAATCATTGCTTTGTCTTCATCCTTAATCTTCACATTAAGTTGAGCCAAATCTATAATTATTTGATTGAAGACATTCACGTGTTGCGTCAAATCATGACATTTCTGCATCTTCAGCTCATCTAACCTCTACTTTAGATATAATTTATTCGTTAAGGATTTAGACATAAATTGGTTTTCCAATTTCTTTCATATTTCTCCTGGAGATGACAGACTCATTACGTGATACATAACCTCACCTGCCAAACATAACCGTATGGTTCTTACCTCTCGCTGCTAAGATTTGGACGTAAATTTTAATTGAGTTAAGTTTAAGATTTTTTTTCTTCATTTCAAGCCTTTTCAGACTTTTATGAGCTTTAGTTCATAATTTTGAGTTCGAATCGAGATTAAAAATTTTAAGCTCACGAGTTTTCGAGTTAAGTCGAACTCTATTTAAGAGGTTTCGAGTCGAATCGAGCTTGTCGAGGTCAACAATAGTTAAACTCGATTTGACTTGTTTACAACCCTATTTATGAGTGTTAAAAATAGAAGATATTTTTTATTAGGCGATATTTGAATAAAAAATCCATTAATTTTACTTATAATTGGAGTAACTATAATACTGGTTGTTATAGTTCCCTCCCATGGAATCTAGTCTCAGTTCAACGAGACTTCACAATCTGATTTGTGATACCATAAAATGCAAACAATTACTCTTTGCAGCGAACATAGACCATTCATTACCTAGTCTGGAAGGTGCAGATAATGAGAAAGAGTGATTACATTACTTCCAGGCTAAACTGTTTTGACAGCGAAGTCAGCAACTAAACTCATTCGAGAAGCAGAGACAAATCACCATCAAACACAGTGAAGCTGCTGGTCCTCTCTCGGCTCAGCACTGACCATGATTGTGGAGTAATGGCATCTCAAAGTGCATAAGCCAAGTTCTTTAACAAAATCCATGTAGGCTTCTAATTAATCTAACAAAACCAGAATTTTGATTTTTCAATTCCAACCTTTATAATTAAATAAATGTTTGTAATTTCTAATTAATATTATAGGATAATATTTATGTAAAATACCCAAAAATTTAATAATAAACACTCAAATACTCCCAACAAATATTAAACTCAAACTTAATACCTCTAAAAATAGTTTATCTTCAATCAGATAACTTGATTTGCTCAAATGCTTGTAATTTAGAAGCACCCACACAAGGCCAGATGGCTACTGTCTACAGTTAGTAACGATCTGTGCCACTTTCTGCTGCTATTTAAATCCACCAATTACCCCCTTACAGTCCCTCTATTCCCCGTTTCTCTTCTTCTCCTTCCTCTTTCCAGTTCCTCTGCCTTCAAACAACCATGGTTGTGTTGTCACAGCCAGCAACATTAGACCATTGTTCCTTAATCAAAACATGCAAGCCCACGGGCGTTTTCACAGGGATTCCGGTTATAGACCTTAGGGACGGAGAAGCAAAGACCCTAATAGTTAAGGCCTGTGAGGAGTTCGGTTTCTTCAAGCTGGTCAATCATGGCGTACCGATTGAGCTGATGACCAGATTAGAAACTGAAGCTCTTAGGTTCTTTAACCTCCCACAGTCTGAAAAGGACGAAGCTGGTCCTCCTGCTCCTTTTGGCTATGGCAACAAGAGAATTGGGCTAAATGGTGATGTTGGATGGATCGAATATCTCCTCCTCAATACCAATCCTCTCGCCTCCCTCAATACCCCAGAAAATTTCAGGTAATCTCCTCTCTCTCTCTCTCTCTCTCTCTCTCTCTTTATTTTATTTTTTTGGTGAACAACACATTTATTTTTCGAACCATCAATTTTATTTTGTTTTCGTCATAAAATTATTTTTTATTTTAAAATCATACACAACCTTATATTTTAATTTCATTTTAATTATTTACTATATTTAAACAGTTATATGAACTTGTCACCCTAAATTAATATTACGTGATAATTGAGAAAACAATTTAAAAATCTACTACAACTATTCTATTAATTTTTAGAGTAATTAAATCTATAATGCTTCAATTATTATTTTTATTTTGTTTTAGTCACTCATTTTTTTAAATCATACATAATTTTTAATTTTGATTTCATTTTAGTTATTTATCGTTAAAAAAATTAACGTCAATACTCATGTTAACAGATAATATTACAATATCATTGAAAATTAAAAAAAAATTACATTAATAATTTTATTAATTATTTTAATAGTAGGTAAATAAAATAAAATAAAAATTAAACGTTAATTATGATTTTAAAATAAAAAATAATTGTGTGATAAAAACGAAACAAAAATAATATTGAATATACGAAACTTATAGTTTACACAATCATTTATCGGATGATTAAAATAAAATTAAAATATAATCTTAAAATAGAATTAAAATGTAACTTTAGATATAATTTTTAAAAATAATAATAATTAGATTAAATCAGAAAGAAGTGATACTTGTAGTTTACTATTTAGTTAGTATTCCAAAGAAGTTGGCTTTGAGTTGGATTGATTGTTATATTTTATGAAGCAGATATGCAGTGAAGGAGTACATCGAAGCAGTGAAGAGGTTAGCATTTGAAGTGCTTGAAGTAATGGGTGATGGGCTGAAGATTGAGCCGAGGGATGCACTGAGTGGGCTAATAAGAGACGAGAAGAGTGACTCGTGTTTCAGGCTAAACCACTACCCACCGTGCTCAGAGCTACAAGCATTGAGTGGTAGAAATCTGATTGGGTTTGGGGAACACACAGACCCTCAAATAATCTCAATCCTAAGATCCAACAACACGTCCGGCCTCCAAATATGTCTCCGAGACAGGACCTGGGTTTCAGTCCCGCCTGATCAAACCTCCTTCATCATCAACGTTGGTGATGCCTTGCAGGTATTGAGTAATGGGAGGTTGAGGAGTGTGAGGCACAGGGTGTTAGCAGGGTCGGTGAAATCAAGGGTTTCGATGATATATTTTGGAGGGCCACCGATGAGTGAGAAGATAGCGCCTATACCTTCATTAATGGCCAAAGGAGAAGAAAGGTTGTACAAGGAGTTCACATGGTGGGAGTACAAGAACTCTGCATCTAAATCAAGGTTGGGAGATAACAGGCTTGGGTTGTTTGAGAACAAAACCCAATGATGTTTGTCCCACATTTTACGTTCAACTTGGAATTTTGTTGCCATACATGCAAACCAAATGTCCTTTCCTTTTTCAAAAAAATATGTACAAATATATTGAAACCTACTTAAAAAAAGGGATTTTATTTTCATCTTGTCCTTTTTTTCTATAATCTTCCAAGTTCGGGTTAAACCAGTTAAATCAATCTAATGAGCATCTATCTCACAAACCCTTGTTACTCAACCGACCATGCGTTGAATTTTGTTATTTTAACTTCGACTTGTTGGGGTTTTAACTATTTGGACTTGGGCTTTTTATTGGCTCTTAGTTTGTCTCTTTCGGCCGAATCCTTGTCTTTGCTTCTTCCAAATTTTACTTTGAACATTCACAGACAAACATGCTGAGACATTGAATTAATTGAATTTTTCAGTAGTCCTAAGATAATATTTTGCCCCTGCTAAATTGGGATCTTGGCTCTGTACATATTTTACTGACTTTTGATATTATATTTATTTTATGTGACATACAAATATTATTTTGAAAAATAATCATAAAGAATACATGATTAGAAAATGTTATTTTAGGCTAATTTTTAGGGTGAACAACAATGAGTCTCTTTTGTTTTTGGTCTATTCGATTTTAATCATCGATTTTGAAAAAGTCTCGTTTCAATCAATTATTTTATCGGGTTCATTATATTTTGGTCACCGAGCCATTAACCTTCGTTAGTTTGATGACGTGATACGCTAGTTAAAATTGTTAATTTTGAATTTAACCTTTAAATTTAGGATAAAATATCAATTTGATCCTAAATTATTTTAGAATATAAAATATTTTTTGTTTTTAAAATAATAATAATAATTATTCTCTCTTCTCTCCCAAACTCTTCAGGCCATCTCTCTCCAACCATAGCCGTCATTATTATTGTCGTCCCAAGTTCTGCCAACAGCGTGCAGGGTACTTAAATGCATCATCGGGAAAGTCTCACGTGCAGCAGTCTTAATATGTGACTAAGGAAAAATTTTACCTGTTTTGTTATTATTTTTTAACAAAAACGGTAAAAAATTATCGGAAACATTATTATCTTTATCTATTTTATTATTATTGGACGCTTTACCGATTTTGTTAACATATTCGATAAAGCTCTATCAATTTTGTTATTTTTTATACCGATTTTGTTATTATTGGACACTATATTAAAAATGTTAAAAATATTAATGTTTTAAGTAAAAATAATAATATTTTAATTAATTTTTTTTATTGATTTTGTTAAAAATAATATTAAAACTGATAATACATTTCTTTAACCGTATATTAAAATTGTCGCATGGTATAACTCTCCGCACCATCGAGCTAAGCAAATAATGGAATTTTTAAGATTGACGAAATACATTCAAAGTGATTAGATAGAAAAGAAAGATTTAGTATGATTTAAAGCTACAACTCCCTCTGCACCAGATTGTGGCTTTTACAATAATGTATAATAATTTGTCAATTATCCTTCCCACGTCATCATAAAAAATACTCAATTCTATCGGAAAATAATATAATTATATTTTATATATTTAAAAATAATTATAATAATATTCTTCTTTATATTATTATTTTTCAATAAGATTCTTGTTTTTATTGAATAAAATTAATAATATTTTATAAATATTTTTATTTTGAATTGGGGCGGGTTCAAGTTTTATCTTAAAACATGAGTCGGATTTTAGATCAAGTGAAGTTGCCATAAACTCGGGTCTGATCAAGTCCGGATAGAGGAGGTCTATTTTTTTGAATCAAGTCGGACTGACAAAAACCCGCCCCATATCCATCCCTATGTAGGGGTGGCTTCGATGTTATAGATTTATATGATAAATCTAGAAGGTTTTTTTTTTTTGAAAATTAAATCTAGAAGTTAGATTTGTGTAAAAATGATGTTAAATGATCCCTAATGACTTCTATAAATTTTAATAATTAACTCAAGGAATAAAGTCAGTGTTTGGGATGAGTTTGTGAGTGATTCTAGGGATGAGCAAATTAATAACTTGATCTCGATGAGTTTCGATCCGACCTCATTGATTTTTTTCTTTCAAAATTCGGGTTTGGATCATGTTTTAAGAAGGAAATAGTTGAGTTTAAGTCGGAGTCAGGTTTAGAGTAAAAAATCTCCGACCAGACCTAACCCGAAATAATTAATATATATTATTATATATTTACAAAAAGGTTATTGTATATATATACATAATTTAGGGTTTATTTTTTCACTGCATTCTCTTTCTCTCTCAATTTCTTTTTCATTTTCTCTTCTGCGTTTCATTCTCTGCTCCTCCTCTCTCAATTTTTTCTTTCCTTTTTCTCTTATGTGTTTCATTCTCTCCTCCTCTTCTTTTTAATTTTTTTTCTTTCTCTTTTGTTCTTAATTTATGGTCATTTTTAATTTTTTTTATCTTTTGTCCTTATTTTTTTCAATTGTTCTTGAGATTAAAATTTGATCTTGAGATTTTATTTTTAGGGTTACATTACAACTTTCTTTCACCATCTGTTAATTTCTCATTTTTACTAAAAAAATCATAATCTTTTAGAGAATAAGATATGTTTAAAAAAATCTCAAATCTTTTATGATTGTGTTTAATATTTTTTTATATGTAGGTTTGAGAATTGAAGGATCAATTTACGTTTTTTATTGAAAAAAATCTGCAAAAGTAATGGTTTCAAAATATAAATCTACAACAATTTTTTTTTTCTTTTAACATTATGTTCCATATATTTTTTTCTTTTTTTTCTTATTAAATCTTTGTTTTTCTTTTATTTTTGGATCTGACAAAGTTTTTAATATTCAAATTTTCTGTTACTCGACATACAAGTTTTTCATCAAATGTTTGCATCATATTTCGAGTCGGGTCAGGTAAAATCGGGTTTTTATTTTAAATCTCGAGGTGGGGGAGGGTTCAGAGTAGATGAAGTATCATAAAAAATTGGGTCGGGTCAGAGTCGGGTGAAAATTTTAAACTCTCGAGTCAGAGTTGGGTTGGTCAAAAATCTGATCCAACCCGACCCGTGCCCATCTCTAAGTAATTATCAAGTGAAACAATATATTTCTAGGTGTGAACTAGTAACAATATTGTTTTTTAGGACAAAAATCTTGGTCTTTTTAGAGGGAATATGAATACATGCTCATAGAGTATTGATTTTGTTCTTGTAGTATCGATATTAAGAGCTTTTTTTTATATATCAATTTCAAAGTATTTTTAGGCACTTTGAGACTTGGGGTTGATATTGATATCCTATAGGTTGGTATCGATACATAAAATGTGTGTAATATCATCAACTTGTCAAGTTGAAAAACATAATCGAGAATATCACCGGAACTTAAATCGAATTCAATTGTTCTGAAAAACATACATAATATCACATTTATGAGTCAATGGCATCAAGAAGTATGACGAATTTGATACAATTAAGTTCGTCGTAATAAAACCAAAAATGATTAGTTCTTAGGGATGAGCACGAGGTATGGTGGGCCGATTTTTTTGTCGCCCCGACCCGAAAATATATACCTAAAACCCGACCCTGCCTCACCCCTATGAATTTTAAGTTTTTCTGGTTCTGGCCTTGTCCCTATTTTAGACTAAAACCTCGATCCAAATCCGATTCGATCCAAATATATCAATATTTTAAAATAATTAAAATAATATATTTTATAATAATATATTTACAATTATTATTATATTTTAAATGATTAAATTAATCTATTTTATAATAATTTTTAGATATTTAATACTTAAATAATATATTTTAATAATATAAAAATAAAAATTAATCGGGTTGGGTCAATGATTTTTCACTTTAAACCCGATCCAGTCTTGACCCAAAATTTTACACCATATAACAACCCACTATGAACCCCAAAATTTAAAAAAAAACTACTCATATAAGGTCAGGTCAGGACCCGTCGAGTTTGGGTATTTTAACCATCCCTATTAGTTCTTGACAAGGCCAATTGAGTTAGGCAACAAGCCACCCTATTAGCCTCTCGGTTTATGTATATGATATTGAGTTCAGGTTTGTTGACAGGGGCCTCAAAAGCTTCTTTGAGCAATAATCTAATGACTGACAGATCAACATGAGAGGTTTATGTATATGATATTGAGTTCAGGTTTGTTGACAGGGGCCTCAAAAACTTATTTGAGCAATAATCTAATGACTGGCAGATCAACATGACGACTAATGAATTTGTTGACTATCGAAATAACATCACCTTCAATTGTGACATGTTGCCATCCATTTTCCAAAGCCAACCATGTAACACCTTTAATTCGTAAATGTACTCAATTTATGAGTTAAAAATGTTACACTAACTTTTAATCACTTGCTAAACCTAATCGGGTCAAATTTAAAACTTTTTGAAAGCTTATTCTTTATTTCCCTTTTTCATAACATTCACGAATCACAATGCTTCCAATTTTAATAGTTTAACCTTAAAATCAGATTTGATTTCATGCAGTAATTTGGAAGTTCGACACCAAAACATATTTAAAATAAAACTGCCTAAAAGTTACTTACATAAAAATCCATTTCGATAGGATTATAATTATAATTTCTTTTCATGATGAATATAACTATAGATAATAGCATACATACTATGTATACTAATTTATATAACAAAACCCGACTTATAACTAAACTTATCAAAGCAACAAAAACATACATAATTAATATACATGCTAACTAGATAAGTCAAAGGTAAGATGTCTTACTGATACTGATATTAGGTATGATTTTTCTAAAATGATGCTCGAGAGGCTCCTCACTTCATGTTCTTTTCTATGTTCAAACCTACGAATGAAAATAATCACGAGCTAAGTAAAAATTGGTGAGGCAGTAACACAACTAAGATGAGGTATAGCATAGAATGTCAACAATTACATAAAAATGAAATATAAATAAAATCATGAAACTTCCAAATCGGGCTACACAAGCCATTTTTCTTATTTAGGAACCTGAAAATTATCATCTCATGATTTTATCAAAATCATGTAAATCAATATCAGACATTACA